GGGTAAAGCTGATCGATGGATGGTAAACTGTCCTGTAAATTTGAGGCAGCTACTTGCAAAGCTTAACCACCATTTCTTTGATTCAGTTTCAAAATGTAAAAAAAACAAAACAAGAAAAAAACTGTCTTCTTAAAATAAATATTTAAAAAATGCTGTGGACAGATAAAATCATCTAATGAGATGGTGTTAGATTGTGACAATCTGTAAAAGTAAGCACTAAAGTTAGAACTGACTATTATTTTGAAGTGGGCAGAATGGTTTTTTTTTTCCCCACAGACTTAAAAAATGCTTTTCTAACTGGTTTGTCGCTACTTTATGGCCAACAATCAGTTTTCATAACAAACCCTCAAAGACCCTACACCAAAAATGTCTTTTTCAGACAATTTCCACGAAACTTTAATGTTTAAGACCACAGGAAACATGGTAAAGATGCAAACTGTTTGTTTGTGTAACTCCAGGCTGGGGGAAGTTTGCCCGACTGACCCGGGCTTTAACAAGCAGCCGGGGGGTTTTACAGCAGCTGCAGCCCACGGTTCATAAAGGGGAGAACGTCCACAAGCACTCCCGTCTGGCTGAGGTATGGTTCTTATTTCTTTCATTCTCAGTTTACTTCATAACAAAGTGAGAACAAGCTGTAGAGAAACGCATCGTTCTTATTGTTTCCTGTTGTGGACGTTGTTCTTGCAGGTCCTGCAGCTCGGCTCCGACATCCTACCTCAGTACAAGCAGGAGACCCCCAAAACCCCTCCTCACATCATCCTGCACTACTGCCTGTTCAAGACCACGTGGGACTGGGTCATCCTCATCCTCACCTTCTACACGGCCATCATGGTGCCGTACAACGTCTCCTTCAAGACAAAGCAGAACAACGTGACGTGGCTGGTGGTGGACAGCATTGTGGACGTCATTTTCTTGGTGGATATTGTTTTAAACTTTCACACCACCTTCGTTGGACCAGCGGGGGAGGTTATCTCCGACCCCAAACTGATCCGAATGAACTACCTGAAGACCTGGTTTGTCATCGACCTGCTGTCCTGCTTGCCGTATGATGTCATCAACGCCTTTGAGAACGTCGATGAGGTGAGTTGAATTTGCTTCTCCAACATGAAAGCTTGATCAAAAAGCTAATATTTGCATTATTATAACCCAGTGTATTTTATACCTCTTTTAAACGTTTTAGCCCCTTTTAGACTTATGAGTCTTTTTATTAATAAAGGTGTTAGTGTTACATTTTTTAGAGTACTATAAAAATGTTTTAAAATTGTGTTTTAGGTCATTTTAGAGCTCAAAGCAAGATTAACACCTTGGTTAAGTTAGAGTTTTCTAGTCACCAGAGCTCTGTATTATGAAGCAGGATTAGTGGCTTTATGAGGAAACTTCAGGTTCTGTTCAGGATTTTCAGTGTCATAAAGCTGCTTTACTTCTTGTCTAGTTCTCACACTGGAGCAGGTTAAGTTTCTGGATAAGAACTACGCACCACCTCTCCACCAATCAGTCTCCTTAAAAAAAGCCACCATTGTGTAATAGAGGGAAGTTTTTTTTATCTCTTTTTTTCACTTCTGTTTGACTTTGAGGAACAACTTTAAGAGAGAGACATCTGAAACAGAACAGGGTCACTCTTATGTGTCTTCCTACTTAAGGTTTTTAGATAAGGAGCACTTTAACAAAATTCCTGCTGTTTTGCAATAGTTCATGAGAGTGTCTTTTTCAATAAACTGCTTTTCTGTGTTGGAACTAACTGATTAAAATCATGAGTTAACAAACACTTTTAATGTAACATTTTAAACTGAAACAAAACCTCACTCCCTAGACTCATTTGGTTTTATCTTCCTTCTAAATTTAGCGTAGAAAAATGTAAAAGTACGTAACTCAAAAACAGAATAAGGTTTTAACTTTTATGCATCAAAAAATTTATTTTTTTTAAGTAAAAGAAATGGTTAAGAACCACGAGGGCTATTGGTAAACCTATTCATTGTATATAATTGCAGGCATATTTCTCCTTTTTTACTGGTTTCCTTCCAGCATTTTGACTGTGACTGAATTTCTAATTCACCTTGTAACACCGCATTGTGTAGTAAAGTAATAAATTGGGCTTCAAAATATAATAAACCCGCACTAAAACTGCATTATGTAATAATGATATAACAATGATGCATTATGTAGTATTGATTAAGATGAACAAAAACATTTGTTTGTGATAGTTTGTTTCATTATTACATTATAATTTCTAAAAAGAGCAACCATCGCATTTTGTAACAATCGTCACATTTTGTAATGTATCACAAAATGTGTTGAAGACTTTTTTTTACATTTTGCGTCAGTTGTTACATAATGCGGTTTTAGTGCAGGGTTATTACATTTTGAAGTCCAATTTTATTTAATTATTACATAAAGCAGAGTTATTACATAATGCAATGTTACAAACCTCCATTTGTTTTACATGAACTTTAACAGGTCCAGACTCAGAAATCTCAGGTTGATTTACTGAGCTGATAACCAGCGGCTGAGCACCACTCTCACAGTTACTTAATGCCATAAAGTTATGTAAGACCATAGCTTATAATTTAATGTAAAAATGTCTTCTACGAATCTATGGTTGAGGCATATCTATTAAAGTCATTGAAGGTAAATTAGAGTGTGGGACCCAGGTGGCTACATTTGAGCCTGGCTCGGTAACCTTAGTACCACACGTTGAATTAATAACCTGCTCAGACATTGTTCAATAAATACAGTGTTTTTATTTAATTGAACGAATAAAGAAGTTTGGACTTTTAGGACCAAAGATGGAGTACTGTTGTAAAAAGTTTCTTTTTATAAATACTTAGACACTTTTTTTATTGTGCATGAAAAAGTGAACGATGGTTGTAGACAGTTTAAAAGAAAAAACTGAAAGTCGTGTAGCTTGTCTCAAAAAAAAAAATCTGCTGCAACAAAGATGTCAGTGCAGAACATTACAATGGAGGTGGTGACATCTGGTTTTGTGACTTCTAATAAACAGGAGTAATGCAAAACAAATAAATCAGATCCTTGATTATTTATGATTATACATTTATCTATTAGAGAAAAGGACTGGTTGAAATAGTGCAATCTAAAAAAAACTGTTTAAATTACGTCACGACCCGCAGGTGACTTTTGTCCGGCCTGCCAGAAACCCACTCCACCCCACTTCATTTAAAAAAATTTATTTTTTTTTATTAATGGTAAACTTTGAATCTATGAGGTGAAGGATAATAATATTTGTCCTGCCCCTGAGCTGTTGGTTTTGAGTCTCTGTGGCCCACTGAGCAATTTAATTAAACAGTCCTGCATTAATGTCTCAAAATAAGCTGCTTTAAAGCCAGCGTTGACTATAAACTACATCTCCCAGAATGCATGTTGATTATTCATGGGGATTCCATTGGAAAGTGAGAGTTCAGAATTCAAGACTAAACACAACTTAACAGTGAGTACAACTCTCTTACTTTGACTTTTAATAGTATTTCTGTATTATTTATTTCACACTTAGTCAGATATACACGTCTTACATTTCAGTGTTTATAAGAGGATGTGCTAAAAAGTAGGGATGCACGATAACTTATTGTAAGAACCGATACTGATAACCGATAACTTTCTCCTTCTAATGGCCGATAACCGATAATAACCGATAACATGCCAGGATATAGGCTAATCCAAAATGGGTAAGATCATAACATAAATAAACAAGACAAAGAAAATGACACTAAATTATATTATTTGAAATAAGGTATTAGCGAACAAACCTTTCTTAAAGTTTATCAAACAAAACAATTTCTCAAATGGCCATTTTTTAAAAATAAGGCACATTAATTATAAAAAGACCTTTAACACTGATCTCAGATTTAAACAAAAGAGAAAAANATATCAAACAAAACAATTTCTCAAATGGCCATATTTTTAAATAAGGCACATTAATCATAAAAAAAGACCTTTAACACTGATCTCAGATTTAAACAAAAGAGAAAAAGTCATTCCACAAGTTCAAAACAGATAATGCACTAACACAAGTTAGATTCAAAGTACATTTGTTTTTATTATAATTAATGTATGATTTAAAACATTTTTCTACCTGAAACAGTGCTTCTGAGAGTGTGAATACATTACGACCGCATCATGCTTACAGGCAGACATACAGAGGTAGTGGCTGTTCAGTAAACCGTGGCTAACAGGTGATAAAAGCTTCGGTCTTTAGCGAGGGTGAACGGCTGCTCGTCAAGCTCCATCATTTCCATCATTAAAGTGCTTGAGATCTGCGTCCTCTCTGACAATTTGTTCAGATTTGTCAAAAGCCTCAGCAATGATTTAAGTCCCGATGACTTCTTGAACGCTAGCTTGTTGTTGTTAGCATTTTAGCAGATCGGACTTTGTGTTGCGTTCAGGAGGTAACAGATTTTACATGTTCTCAAATTGGGAGTAGATGTTCCGATGTTTATAATTATAATGTTTGTGTGTAACATGCAGGGTTAATTGGTAAAATAACATTAATAATTCTCAAAATGACTGGTTGTTTTTCAGCATGGAGTATTCTAATTATTTTTCTAGTGAGAAAGTTATTTATTCTGACGCCACTTGAATGTTGCTCGGGTCGTGCCGGATGTGAAGCGGCTTGACCAGAAAGGATAAAAATAAAGGAGCGCACTCTCCGCCATGCTGGCAAACATGTACATATTTTATCGGTTCTGTTTGTTATGAAATCAGACCGATAAGTATGACATCATAATTTTCTGAAATCGGGCCGATAACTATCGTGCACCCCTACTAAAAAGCTGTTTCTATGCAGGAAATACCATGTAGAGCTTTTGTTAGTTAGCGGTAGTCAGCTGTAGCAACGAGACGAAGAATGTGAATATTTCTTAGTCGAAGTCAAACATGAAATGTTGAAGTTAATTACAACTGGCCCTTTCAGGGCCATCATAATGCTCGTGTGTCCCTCAGTGCAAATGAATTTGACACCCCTGGTCTAAATGGTCTTCATTAATAGAGTAAGAGTGGAAAACTGGGTTTTCCCCACCACATTTACACCAAATTAAAAACCAAACGGTGATTGACACATTGCTATTTTTATGCTGTTTTAAGCTACATTTAACAACCACTGTACATCAGAAAGTGTTTTTTTTTCCCTTCCCCATCCGAGAAAACAAGTCAGACCGAACAGCCTGATAATACGCTCATTTGTGAATCTCTAAATGTTTCGCCACAGTGATGAGTGTTTGCTGGAGAGCCATCACAGGATCTAGAGATAATTGGCACATTTTAATTGGCAAAGTAGCGTTGCTTTGTTAAACTGGGACACACTCCTATGCGCCGTGACACTGATGCCCAAAAAACCATTAACGCCTTCTGACAGCTGACAATGACTGAATCATGGGAAATCGTGATTTAAACGAAGGCAATGGTTTAAGGGGAACAATTGTAGGTGGATAGCTTATTTATTTTATGATTTACTTCATGTAATGAACAAAACAAGACTTATTTTTGTTTGTGAGCCGGCAGAAATAGAATAGAGTTCACATGTGGCTGAAGATAAATCACTTAAATGTTAGAAAATTGTTAGTTAACGTTGCCTACTTTATACGTCTAAATGTGTTCCTGCACTGGTCCAGAGGGAGATTCCTGTTCCTTCTCCAACAGACAGACGCTCAATGAATTGCACTCCGAGGTGTTGCATTCGGCTGTCCTTATTGTGCATCATTGTGTGCGTTTGTGTCTCAGAGAGCGCTTCAGCGTGTCCCGGTCATGGTGTCTGTGTGTTATTGTGTCACCGTGGGGATGATGTGAAATGCTGGGATAGCATTGAAGCGTGCAGTGTGTCAGAGCCAGCGCCACACTGGGGACTATTAGGTGGCTCAGACAGAATGAGGTAATGTGAAAATCAGTACGAAAGCTTAAAGAAAAGAAAGAAGATGCTCGAGTGTGGGCAGAGAGCACCGAACAGTTTCTGCAACTCCAGCATTTTTTTTGTTTCTCTGGAGTGATTCAGAGCTGCTGCCTCTTAAATGCTGACAAGATCAAGCGCAAAGTCTCAGAGGTCAGCACAGGAGAGAAAAAAAAACTTTTGTGGTTTCAAAAGATGCTGTTGCTGTTATTTGATCCTCTGTGTCTCACCAAGGAAAGAAAACTGTAGCTTGTAAATCTGGTGGTTGAAAACTTGAAAAGTGGGAAAAAAAATTCTCAATCTAGTCAAATATCGCCAAGAATTTACATATATTTGACAAAAAAAACAATCTGATATTCAAGATTTTCATCTCTAATATGTGA